TTGAAGTGATTTACTCATGCCCAAATAACCTGTGAGTTATGAGGCAGCTTGGTGGCACAGTGTGCCAGGCTTGGAATTCTTCCTCAGACACTTATTAACTGTGTGACCCTGGGTAAGTAAGTCACTTAGGCATCTCTAAGTTTTAGCTTCCTCTCGGTAAAAATGGAGATAATAACACCACCTGCCTCCCAGGATTGTTGTAAGAATCAAATGAGATGATAATATTTGTAAAGCAATTGGCCAACCTTTAAAGTGCTGTCTAATTGTTAGCTCTAATTAGTAAGTGTTCGGGGTAGAATTCAAATCCACTGTTTCCTGACCTTAAATACAACACTCAGACTTCTCCTTTCTGCCTTGGTGCTTGTCATTCCCTGGCTGGAATGCCCTCCTCCTCCCCTCACCCCCACACTCTCTTCCCAAGTCAGTTGAAATCCTATTTTTCAAATCTCAGTTGATGTCTAGTGTTTTGCCAACCTTAAAGTACTTTATAAATGCTAACTATTATTATTAAGAAAAAAGATAGCCCATCTCTTCCAGAAAGCCTCCTAGGATTCCTCCAACCAAAAGAAATCTTGCTTTTGGAGCCTTGGAGTCAATTTCTAGCTCTGTTTTCCCAATCTTCCTTGCATAGTAATTACTAGGTCTTACCTCTACCCAAACCACCACCACCCATCAGCCTGATAGAGAGCTCTCTAAGGAAGGTAGTGTGGCTCCAGACTTGGGGGAAAGGGCCTTGAATGCCAAGTAGAAATTGGCTCTATCAGAGATTCTATAGAAGGGATTTCTACATGTTGTGGGAGATTGGAACAGATGGCCTTTTGGGGCATGGATGGCCCTGGAGAGGAGGTATGTCTGAACGTATAAGGGAAATTCTTGAGAGGTCTCTCCCTGCTGCATCGAAGTGATTTTCTGGGATAAAGAGTAAGTTTAACTCTTAGGACAGAAACTTTGTCCTGAGCCCTATTTCCCTCTTTGTAAAGACTTCTGGCCCAACCCCCTCATCGTATAGGCAGTTAAACTGAGACAACAGAGGCGAAATACATGGAGAATAAGTAGCAGAACTACTTTTAAAGCTAGTCCTCTGACTGCCCAGAGAGTAGAGTTAGGAGCAATGGATAGGAGTTGGAAAGAGGTAGATGTAGGCTTGTTGGAAGAAAAAAATTGTTACAGAGATAGTACTTGGATTTGGAATACTGAAATCCTGGTTCAAATCCTGTCCCCTGGTGCTCATTAGCTATGTGACCCTGGGCAAATCACTTAATCTCTTTGATCTTCACTTTCCTCATCTAATAATATCTGAATCACCTACTTACTTCATCAAATTCTTCGAAAGAACCATAAGATTATGTGCAGAAAAGACTTCAAACTTGAAAGCTTTATATAAATGTTTGCTAACAACCACAGTAACAACCTCAACAGTTGATGTTATCCAGATGTAGATTTCAAAAGGCAATGCTTTGAGAGATAATAGGTCCTCCTACACCTGAGGTGTTCAGTAGAGGGCAGATGACCACTCATTTTTTTGGAGGAGGGGTGTCCCTATCTAGCCCAGATTGGAGGTGCAGATACCACTCAGGATCCTACCTACCCTCATCACTGGTCAGCACAGAAGCTTTGAACAGCTGTTTCCAATCTGGGTCAGTTTGTCCCTCCCTAAGCAGCCTGGTGGGTGTCCAGCTTCCCAGGGCTCACCTAATCAACTTAGCCCTACTCCAGCTCAGAACTGCTGAGCTCAGGCCATGCACCAGCCTCAGCCTCCCCAATGGCAGGGACTACAGGCACGTTACTACCATGACTGGCTTCCCAGCTTGGATGACCACTCTTCTGGGATTCTAGGGGTGGGTGTGAATGTCAGACAGCATGAGGTCCTTTCCAACTATGAGATGTTAGAATATAGGTGCCTCCCTTTCTTCCTGTCTCAGGAACAAGATGGAGCAGTCACCTCCCCAAAGATTCGCATCATTTCTATAATAGCAACTAATTCTGTCTTGTTGCTGAGAATCAGTTTCGAATAGAATCAGGTCCCCTTGTCAATATTGCCACTTTTTTAAAGGGTAAAATTATCATTAAGGCATTCCACAAATAATTAGCTGCTCTGCTGCTGGCAGAGAAAGAGTCCCAACAGATAGCCCAATGATTTAAGTCCCCATTCCTACTACAATAATAATAACAATAATAACAATAGTAATAGAGAGCATTTATCTACAGCTTCAAGGTTTCTGAAATGCTTGGTATACTATGTTATGTGAATTTCACAACAATTCTTTGCATGGACAGTCAACCAAAGAAATATTAATTTACTGAAGAAATGAATGATCTTCATAACCTTCAGTTGTAAAGTTGTCTCCATGATAAAAAGCAAAACTTTTTGTCCTGGCATTTAAAGGCCTTCCACAGTCTGACTCCAACTTACCTTTTCATCTTTTTTTTCTCATTATTTCACACACGTCAAGACTAAGCCAAGCTGGGCTACTAACCATTCTGTGAACAGGTTCTGCTGTCTCTCCCCTCATTGCATTTGCCCAGGCCACACCTCCTGCCATGAAATACACTGTCTCTTTAACTCTGTCTCACAGACTCTTCTCTTCTCTCGAGGCTCAGCTCAGGGCTACCTTCTCCATGAAGTCTGAGCATTTCCTGAGGTGTCCTCTTTCTCTTCCAAAATTTCCTAGAACACTTTGTCTGTATCTCTCTTCTGCCTCCATCACAATCTACCTTGGATTACGCTTATGTGTGTATATGTCATATCCTCCCATCTCCAACATAAGAAACTTGAAGGCAGGAACTGTTTCATTTTTTACTTTTGTGTAAGTTCATTGCTTAGAATCAGTGCTCTGATTTTACACAAATCAGGTTCAATTTGGGGAGTTTGTCAGTGATCATACCCTTTTGTTTGTGTCCCTACTAAATGTTTCCCCTGGGAACATCAGAATTTGGCTTAGGTCTATGTTTTCACAAAAACACAGAAAACGTTTCTCAGTTCTCATGCAAGCCTTCGGGCTAACAAGTCATTATATATGCAGGATAGGTATTTAAATTGATTAAAACAATAACAACAAAAACCCCACTTATATTCAAACCTATAAAGTCAAGACTCCTCTACTTTCCTCTCAAGTGGACCTCTACCTTCTCCAGAAACCTATAGCCATCCAGACTTACATTTCTCTAAGTGGGTGGCCAGAGTCAAGCAATCTACCCAGACTGAGCTTCATTGTTTGTTTAGTCCCAAAGTGTCCTAGAGAATCAACTCTTTCCCCCCATAAATCTTCAAGTTGATAACCTAGTCCAAGGCATAGTGTCTTGCACATAGTAGTATTTTTTTTCTTCAAAAATTTTATCTTATTTTTATTGATGTCTTTTGTTTTTACATCCCACTCCTTTCCAAATATGCCCCTCTTCCTCCTCTATGCAGGAGGCCATCATTTGTAACAAAGAATAAAAAAGAGGAAAAAAAGTAGCACCACAAAACTATTGACTGGGTGTGACACTGTATACAATATTCCATACCCATAATCCTCAGTTCTGCCATGAAGAGAGGGACCTTCATTTTCTCAACTCTTCTCTGTCCAGATTTCTTGGTTATTATCATTACATAGTATCCAGTTTCAGGGTTTTGTTGTTGTTGTTGTTTTTGTTGTTTTTTAATTTATGTTTTTGTAGCCATTGTGTTTGTCGTTTTCCTGATTCTGCTTACTTAACTTTGCATCTGTTTGTATATTTTCCTGTGCATCTCAGAATTCTCCATATTTGTTGTTTCTTATGACACAGTAATATTCTATTACATTTAGATCTCACAGTTTCCTTAACCATTCCTCAGTCGATGGAATCTACTTTTTTGCTTCCAGTTTTTTGCTGTTACAAAAGGTGCTGATATGAATATTTTGGTGTATATGGGAATCTTTTTTTTGTCCTTGACCTTCACCCATAGAACTATCTTAATAAATGTTTGTTAACTAGCTTGATTACATTGTAAACTCCTTGTGGGCACACACTATGTTTTTCATCCTTTTTTTTTTCACCCTATCACTTAGCATAGTGCCTTGAAAGTAGGTGCTTAATAAATGTTTGTTGAATCAAAAAATGAGAGGGATGGGGCAGCTAGGATGGCTCACTGGATAGAGCACCGGCCCTGGATTCAGGAGGACCTGAGTTCAAATCCAGCCTCAGACACATAACACTTACTAGCTGTGTGACCCTGGGCAAGTCACTTAACCCCATTGCCTAGCAAAAACAAAAACAAAAAAAAAAATGAGAGGGAAACAGGGAAGTGAGATGGGTGGAAAGGGGGAAGGTAGGAATGAAAACAGCATACATAGGAGATCTGTGATAGAAATTCTTCATTCTACCTGGGTCCAGGGTCAATCTCCCAACGAGGTCTCAGGCACCCAGCTCATTCCTGGGCTTACTGCTTCTGCCACATGATCCCTCCTTCTTAAGAAGTGAGGAAGTTTGATATCATGGTAGTAGTACTACTAGTAGTAACAACAACTAGCAGTTAAGGTTTGCAAAGCACTTTACTTAATTGCAAGAGTCCTAAACTGAATATCAGTAGACCTGCCTGGGTTTGTGTTTCCATTGTGTTCTTAACTCGCTTTGTATAAATTTCTTTTTTTTTCCCCTGGGTCTCAGTTTCTCTGACTACAAAATAAGGAAGTTGGCCTAAATGATTTTATTTTTTTACAGCTCTAGCATTCTATATTACACTTTCAAACTTTTTTCCCACTGACATTCCATAGTCTGACATTTTGTATTCTATGCTCTAAGGATCCTCCCAGTTCTGACATTCTGTGTCTTATGTTCTCAGGGTCCTTCCGGGTCCGGTGTTCTGTGTTCTATGTTCTACGTTCTCAGTGTCCTCTCAGTTCTGACATTCTGTGTTCTACCTTCTAAGGGCCCTTATAGCTCTGAGATTCTGTGTCCTATGTTCAGCCCTTATAGTTGTAATATTCTGTGTTCTAAAGGCTTTCCCAACTCTGACACTCTGTGTTCTCTGATTGTAGGATGAGTTCCATCCATTTATTGAGGCCTTGCTGCCACATGTCCGAGCATTTGCCTACACCTGGTTCAACCTACAAGCTCGGAAACGCAAGTACTTCAAGAAGCATGAGAAGCGCATGACGAAGGACGAGGAGCGGGCAGTGAAAGATGAGCTGCTCGGGGAGAAGCCTGAGGTCAAGCAGAAGTGGGCCTCCCGTCTCCTGGCCAAGCTGCGCAAGGACATCCGGCCAGAGTGCCGAGAGGACTTCGTCCTAGCCATCACAGGCAAGAAGCCTCCAGGATGCGTCCTCTCGAACCCCGACCAGAAAGGCAAGATGAGGAGAATCGACTGCCTGCGCCAGGCAGACAAGGTGTGGCGGCTTGACCTCGTCATGGTCATCCTCTTCAAGGGCATCCCCCTGGAGAGCACCGATGGGGAGCGGCTGGTCAAAGCCGCCCAGTGTGGCCACCCCGTGCTTTGTGTCCAGCCCCATCACATCAGTGTCTCAGTGAAGGAGCTCGACCTATACCTGGCCTATTTCATCAGAGAGAGAGGTAGGGAACCCCCAGCATGGATCCACCTATGGGTCACACCAAGTGTATGTGAATGTGTTGGGAGGAGGGAGCAGCATAACCTTGTCAGCATTGGAAGCAAGGCCTAGGACAGGGGTGGGGAGCCTGCAGCCTCGAGGCCACATGTGGCCCTCTCTAGGTCCTCAAGTGCAGCCCTTTGACTGAGGGGCCAAACTTGAAAAGGACCTAGAGATGGGGATCTCTTGCCTAGGACTTCACCCAGGCCTATGATATGGAGATAGGTCTGAGGGAGAGACACTGCCTTTCCTTCAGTTTAAGGGGAGATGGAGTCTGCCTTCAGGGAACCCCCCCAGTCTGAGAAGGAAGATGCCACTCCTGCCCTCAGGGAGCCCCCAGTCTTAGGGTGGAGCCAGTACAAATGTGAGAACTGTAACTAGGAATTATTGCAGCTAGGACAAATTCATTTGCAGAGCAGGAAAGACAGCAGTTGCTGCAGGAAAAAGGTAGCTCATTCAAGTCACCAAGCATTTATTTAGTGCCTACTGTGTGCCAGACATCATGCTAAATGTTTGGGTTACAAAGAAAGGCAAAAACAGTCCCTGTTCTAATTGGGGCAGAGGACAGACAACATGCAAACAATTAGGAACAAACAAAACATATACAGGATAAACTGGCGTTCATCTGAGAGGGAAGATGCTAATTAACGGGGATCAAGAAGCACTTATTGCAGAAGGTGGGATTTTATTTGGAACCTGAAGGAAGCCAAGAGGTGGAGATGAGGAGGGAATGAATTCCAGACAATGAAAACTTCATGGAATTGGGAGATGTGAGGAATGGCAAGGTCAGTCATGAATTGAAAAGAACATGGAAGGGAATAAGGATTATGGAGCCTGGAAAGATAATAAGGGGACAGGTTAGGAAGGACTTTAGAAGACAAACAGATTTTATTTTTTACCCCGGAGGTGATAGGGAGTTTTGGACGTTATTCATCAGGGGGAGTTATATGGTCTGAACTGCTCATTCCTTAGAGATTCTGGCCCTTGCCCTAAAGGAAGCTGGAGAGAAGGGAGGGCCTCAGGAGAGGGATGGATGGGGAGCAGCCAGGGCAGGTTCTGCCTTGCCGTATCATGGGCCATGGTGGAAGATCGTGAGGCCAAGTGGAGGGATAATGAATGCTGTGGGACTTGTGTGCTCTCTGCCAAATGTTGGTATCCAGAGGTCATTCCTCAGTTGCTCCGTGGTGCTTATAGCTCTGCATAGCAAGTCCACACAAGGAACAAGAGACATGAGACCAAAATCAGTAGGGGATGGACCCAACAGAGTAGCTCTACATGCTGCTGGGATTGAGTGGCTAGAGCTGGAGGATCTGGGTGAATATGGGGTAGCTTCTAGGAGAAGGGAAGTTTGGAGAAAAATCTGGTGGAGAAAAGGAACAAGGGAAGAGGGTGGAAGGTCCCCCGAGTTCCCTCTGACTGTTCTGCGCTCTAGGAATCCTCCTAGAGTTTGGACAATGGGCAGAAGGTAGGACCAGTTCCCACCCTCTCCCTCAAGGTAGACAGACCAAGGCTTAATGGGGTCAGGAACAAGATCAGTAAAGTCCTGAAGGGAAGGAAAAGGGAATAAAGATACATCCCCCAAACTTTGGAATTGACTTTATGGCTCCAGGAGCTGGAGGGAGAAGTTTGAGGCCCCAGGCCAGAAGCTACATAGTATCATGGAAAGAACCATGGGACGTTAGTATCTGGGTGGTAGAGTGGATAAGGTGCAAGAATTAGAATCAAGAGGAGCTGAGTTCAAACCCTGTATCAGCCACTCACTAGCTGTGTGACCCAGGAGAAGTGACTTAACTTTTCTCAGCCTCAGTTTCCTCATCTGTGCTGTTGTTCAGTTATTTTCAGTTTCATCCAACTCTTTGTGACCCCATTTAGGGTTTTCTTGGCAAAGATACTGGAGTGGTTTGCTATTTCCTTCTCCAGCTCATTTTACAGATGAGGAAACTGAGGCAAACAGGGTTAAGTGACTTGCTCAGGGTCACACGGCTAGATATATCTGAGGTCAGATTCGAACTCAGGAAGATGAGTCTTCCTGACTCCAGACCTGGCACTCTATCCATTGCCTAGTCCTCATCTGTAAAATGGGGCTAATAATGGCACCTACCTCTCAGGGTTGTTGGGAGGATCGAATGAGATAACATATGTAAAGTACTTTGTAAAGCTTAAAGTACGATCTAAATGTTTGCTGTCATTAATTACCATTACTGAGATGTAAACGATCTCGGTTCTAGTTTCAACTCTGCTGCCAATTTCCTATGTGACCTTGGTCAAGTCCTTTCCCTTATGACTCTCTGTGTCTTTCTTTGCAAGATGAGAAAGGTGTTCTTAGTTGTTTCTAAGACTCCATGTTCTATGTTCCCGGTGCTCTATGAGGAGTTAGAGACAGGGTGTGCTCTGGGTTAGGAGATCCCAGAAGCCTTCCAAGAGTAGATGATACTTGAGTGAGACCTCAGTGGGTGGGTGGGATTCTCACCAGTGAAGATTAGGAGAGAGGAAGGACCAAAGCAAAGACCTGGAAGCTGGAACTTGGGAGTCTAAGCTACAGTGAAGGGGGTATTCGGGGGAGCAGGGAGAGATGAGGCAGGAGAGGGAGGTAGTCAGATAGTAGAAGGCCACAAATGCCAAGCCCACAGACAAGCATAAACATACCCATCTGTCAATACATCAAGAATTTGGGTTTTTGAAATAATGAGTTGTCCCCCCCATCATTAACTGAAGACAGAACCCCTCTAGAGTTTAGGAGATAGTCTTTGAGAGTTGTTGTACCCAAAAAATCCGTACCCATTCTCAACACACACATACCCTCAGCCAATCTGGTGAGTTCTCCAAGCTTAGTGAGGCAAGTTCTCTGAAGATGAACATGCAGTCTGTCATCACAATCATACATGAAGCCTTTTCAGATTGGTAAAACCTTTCAGAGTTGGCCTTTTGCTAGTATGGCCTTTGAGAACTCAGGGTTACCCTCATACCACATAGGACAGAAGGAGAGTGGAGGATATGTATTTATACCCAATGACTCCCCAGCCACACAGACCTAACATACTTCACCCAGAACTACCTCCCCTAGTCTGCTTACAAAGGCACACAGGTGCCAAATGGGTTGGGTGAAAATGCATACCCAACACTTGTCAGATATGATCTAGACACCAACACACAATTGGGGGATGAGTATACAAATACAAACATATCTGCCTTATCTTCTGGTCATAAATGGAAATAGATACCCCTGAAGATTGCTTTCAGAGAAGGAGCTATGAGGTAGGGACACACATACACACACCCACACACACCAGACCGGAGTCTCGGCCAGAGAGTTAGGCATGAGAATTCAGCTCAGATCCAATTCTTTCATTGCTTGAACTGAGGACAGAAGTAGGGATATAGGTAGGCAAGGATGTATAGAACAGGGAGAGAGGAATTGAAGTTAGAAGGGAGAGGAAGAAGGAAAGGGAAAAAGTGATTTTAAAAGGGAGAGAGAAAAGGGGGAAAGGTGAATATGGGAAAGAAAAAGGGGGAGAGAGAGAGTGAGAGAGACAGAGAAAGAGACAGAGAGAGAAGGAGAGAGATTGAGAGGGCAGTAGTTAGAGGACTTGGGTTTGAATCCTGCCTCTGCTACTAGCTGGGTGACCTTGGACAAATCACTTGATCTCTGTCTGCCTCAGTTTCCTTATCTGTAAAATGAGGGGGTTACCTTTAAGGTCCCTTCCAGTTTTAAATCTGTGAGAGGCCATAAAAAATGCTTCTTGTGGGCCATGACACCCTGCCCCACAGCTCACTCAGACTGCCCTGATGCCAGAGTAGAATTGGGTTTTGTTTTGTTTTGTTTTGTTTTGTTTTTTTTTATTTTTTCCAGAAAGTGGCAGGCCAGAGGAAAGGAGAACTCAATTCAGGCTGACAGCTTTGGTGGTACAGGAGAGAAGAGAGGTATAGAGACAATAATGAGTATGTTTTGGGAAAGAAATGTTTATTTGTCTACCCATCTATAAAAGAGTTTGTTTTCTGGGTTTGTTTCTGGGTGTGGGGAGCAGGTATTCAAGAAGAGGGGAGCTCCCAAAGCACTTTTCATCTTGTCAGCTAGGCATTGTGTTGTTTCTCTGATTTTTTCATGTGGAGAAACTGAGACTCAGGGAAGTAGTGACTTGCCTATGATAACAGAGGTAGTATAAAAGTGTCAGAGTCAGGGTTCAAACCTAAGTCTCCTAGATCTAGTCCAATGCTCTTTCCACTAAATACACTGCCTTTCAGAAGCAGAAATAGTGAGGAGGGGTAGGAGGGTGGGGTGAAGGATGTGAGGAGGGGGGCCCTTTGTGCTTTGAGATCTCTGTCAGCCTAGAGATAGATCCCGGCTGTCCCTGTTGCCTGGAAGCCCTCAGCCTCCTCCCCTCCTCCCACGATTCCCTGACCTTGACCTACCCCCACCCCCACCCCCACCCCCCAGTGTCTGGGTCCAGGCTTCAGAGTCACCTGATCTGTCTAATTGGTAACAAACTCTGGGCTGTAAATACTCCTGGTGATAAGACCTTCTTAGCTTGTCACTTTCCCTGAGCTGAGCTGACCAGCTGTTAAGGAGGCTGGAGCACTGTTTAAGGTAGACCAGGCTGCAAGGCAAGTGGGCTTTGCAGAAGGTGTCCGGGATAGGGCCCTGGTGGCCACAGGCTAAATGCCCTGGGGAGCCCCAGAGGAGAGGGTATGTTATTAATCTGAGATGACTAGATTGTTTTATGAGGGGAATTTTCAGCAAGCTAAACTGACAGAAAGATATTGAGTAAAAAAAAAAAAGAGGAGATATTTTCTGTGAAGGAGGGCTGAACCAGGAACCAGGATCAAAAGCCCCAAGGCACTGAGAAGAGACCCTCGGTGGGGGTCAGGGCCAGCCACATCTCCTGTTTACCTTGACAGAGGGACAGAGAAATGGGCCTTTTTCTTCAGCAGGACGGATTGAGGTTAGAAAGACAACAAAACTTCCAA